GCCGCGGCCTGCTCCGCGGTCGCCATGGGAACCAGCTTCTCGGGGCCGGGAACAGATGCGCCTCCTTTGTCCCTTGCACTCCCACCAGCGCTCAGCACCGGGGGACCTCCACCTCCCAGAGTCGTGGGAGTCGTGACCCGGGGACACGCACCCAGCCCCTTCGCCCTCCCCCGCGCGCGGGCAGCGGGAGGTCTCCCTCTACCCAACCATGGCGGGGTGGGCCTTGCCACGGTGTAGCTGAACTTCTTGGGGCGGGGGTAGTGATGGGGCGGACAGGGCGTCTGGATCCCTCTGGAGCTGGCCGCACCACCTCGTTGTCCCCATTCCTCCCAGTGCTTGCCCTTCCCGTCTCGGAGCTCCAGGGCCTGGCGTTATCTTGCAGGACAGGCTGCACCGGCTGTGTGCAGTTGTGATGGGCACAGGAGCACCCTCAGAGGACCAGGCCTCCTCCCCTGCCATGGGGATGTAAGATGGAGGTCCAGAGAGAGCCCCCCGGGCCCTCCCGCCAGGGCCAAGCCGGGTGGAGGCTGCCTCCGGCTCTGCAGCCTCTCCATGAGTCACTGGCCCCTGTGTGGGCTCTCGGTCCGGCAGGGAAGACCTGGCTTGTCTGCAGTGGCTCCTGGAGGAGAAGCAGGCCTAGCTGGAGCTGACCAGGCCTCCTCCCTACAGGGCCCTCCTCCCCAGTTCAGAATGCAGCCCACAGCCACCATGGCCACAACCACCGCCGCCGCCGCCACCACCACCACCACCACCACTGCCACAGTAGCTCTGACGACGTCGTGGGACAACGCCACTGGACGCCCCACGGTGGGTGCAGGGGACAGGTGGGAGGGGCTGGAGGTCATCCAGGCCAGCAGCACCTGACCCCCCCCCCCCGCATGCCCGCAGGCAGAGCCAGACCCCATCCTGGACAACTACGTGCTGCTGGTGGTGGTGATGTCGCTGTTCGTGGGGGGCACGCTGGTGGTGTTGTCCGGTGTCCTGCTCCTCTGCAAGCGCTGCTGGGACGTCCACCAGCGCCTCAACAGGTGCGAGGCCCCCACCTCGGCTGGGCAGGTGCATGGTGGTTGTGGGCACCAGTCGGGTATGGGGGACCTACCTCACTGGCTTCTGAGTCACAGGGTGGGCTGTGCCTCTGGAGAGTGGGTGATGCACAGGGCCTTGGCTTGGGGCAGAGAGCCGAGACCCACTGCGGTTCTCTGGGCCCTTGGTGCCACTGGGCTCTCCCGATGTCTCTCCCAGGGCCATGGAGGAAGTGGAGAAGACCACCACCACCTATCTGGACAACGGCACCCACCCGGCCCAAGGTGAGGTGCTGGCCAGCCCAGCTACGCGCCCACCTGTCCATCTGCCCCTTGGCCACCTGCTGCCCCCTCGGGCTGCCTGACCGTCTGTGTCTGTCTGTCTCCCCCACCAGACTGGGCGCAGCTCGATTCCGACTCATCTCTGTTTCCTTAACGCCCAGGCGTAGGTGGGCCCAGGCGCGTGCTGAGCGAGTGAGTGTGTGAGCGGATGGACGAGTGTCCCTCGCCCCACCCGCCCGGCCGCCCACGCCGTGGCCCCAGCCCTCCCCGTCCCGGCTGCCCGACGAGCAGCCCTCCCGGGACCAGGCGCTTGGCGCGGCCCACCCGGGGCCCACCCTCTCCTGCCTCTTCACGCAGACCCCGACTTCCGGGGGGAGGACCCCGAGAGCCAGGATGCGGAGACTGAGCGCTTCCTGTCCACCAGCTCCACTGGCCGCCGGGTTTCCTTCAACGAGGCGGCTCTGTTCGAGCAGAGCCGCAAGACGCAGGACAAGGGCCGCCGGTAAGCAGGGTGGCGTCAGGGGGTACCCCAGGGCCTGTCTGAGGTCATGGCTGCTTGGGACAGGGGAGGAGCTGTGCGCAGAGGCTGCAGGGACCAAGGTGGAGGCCCCTGAACTGGGACTGTGCGGTGGGGCGGCCTTGGCCAGCAGAGTGGATGGCAGAGTGCAGCAGCTGCGGCATCAGGCATGGGAGTTGGGCAGGCTCTGACGGCCAGATACCGTCGC